CATATGACCCGAATAATAGTATGTTTTATCCTTACAATAAAAAAAAAACATTAATGGGGCTTCCGGCCAGACTGCTCATCCCCATATATATATTCTTTTTTTCATTCTGTCTATTTTATTCGCTTGTTTTTCAACCAATATTTTTTTCTTTCCTGTCTCTCCTGTGTCTAAACAGAGCAAGTACCTAATTTTTTAAATAAAGGTTTTGTCTTGTCTATCAGTTATTCGATTTCTCATTTTTTGCTGTATGAACTTTGATTTTTCTATAACGATTAATAAAACTTGCTAAAACGTCTGTACATTCTATTAATGTGCTTATTTTTTAATACAAAAATCTCAAAATCCATTTTTTTTGCTGATTATAGAAATCATCAAAATTTTTCGCCAAACAGGAGGTGCTGAGGAAAAAAATAATATCATTTCTGAAAGATCTGAAGAAAGACTATCTTCCCATACATTTATCTCAATTTCGGAAATTCTGACGAAAATTGACTTTTTTTGAGGGAAGGGAGGCCTTGAATAAAATGTTTAATTATGAAGTATCTCTTTTGATAAGCTACGATGATAAATGAGTAGATAATGCATCTTTTACGTTAGCACAAGGATACTGTACCAGCATAAAGAATTTATTTATTTTTTGCAGCTGAACTCACTATGATTTTTTCTCTATAGAAGATTCGAATAGCAGAAGACGTGCTTAATGATGCGCCGTCATAAATGTGAACCGACACACCAGTTCACGTCATCAGAACTAGGAAAATAAGTCATTTTCAAGCAAGTCCCTCTACATTCATCAATTTATCAACGTAAAAAAAAGATACAGATTACTTATATGCGAGCAGAATACATTTTATTAGCCTTATGAATAATAAATTACTCATACATGTGTTCGCACTGCTAGAAAAGAATAAAGATACCATTGTCACAATTATATTTTTAGCTTTTTGAGAAGTTGGCGAAATTGAAAATGGTGTCTAGCGTAACACGGCAATGGGTAAGTGAGCAATGATGAATTTACACTTGAATTCACAATATTTTTCTACCTAGATTTCGATACCCAGTGAATTGATTGGTTCAATTCCACGTACAAGTGAATTACTTGAAGCTCGTATTCGATATGAAAGCGATCTAATAACCATTGAAGATTTACATAAAATAGAAAAAAAAGCAGTGGAGCAAACAGTCATCGAATTAGATCAACTGACCGGATCGATGGTCTTGACTGACGGTGAACAAACGAAACCTTCATTTCTGACCTATCCAATTTATGATCTCGTTTTTGAACGATATACATTTGATGAACAATGTTTTCAAATTAAATTTACCGACGGTATATGAACGCATCTATGAATTAGAAACGCAATCGATACCCAATAGTTTGCAGTGGAAAGGATCTTCAGACTATTTCGCATGTAGAATTAAGTAGAGCATATAAACTTTCTTTATGTCAGGTGTAAAATACCAATTTTTACTATTTGCGCTCGAAAAATTCACTGAAATGCTCTCGATTTCCATCTGAATACGATCACTCTTTGCTCTCTTATATGAAAGTATCTTCATAGGTCATGTGCGAACTCTGCCGCATCTTATCAAAGCACCTTTCAAATATGCCACCTATGCCTACAAATATTTGGAAGTGGCTAAACGGTTGACCAACAAACCAGTCAAACAAGCTGTTATTACGGCATCAGCACTGTCCATGGTCTATGCACCGCATCTACTAAATAGTGGTCATATTGACAATTATTCACACGAAGAATTTCTCAAGGATTTAACGGATGAATGTGAAAGAGATATTCGACTTTGTCTCGGTATGTTGAATTCGGCATACAATTACTTTTACCAAATAAATGTTTTAGAATATGGAGCACATGTTGTTCAACTTGATTTTACAGAAGCTCGCCTGTCACTAAAAGTTGATCCAAGTGGTCGATTACTCAAAGATTTTATTGCAATCAATAATCGAGTTTTAGATAGATTCAATGCGAATGAGCAGAAGAAAATTGGCGTACATGTTTGTCCCGGTGGCGATTTAGACTGTTGTGTGAGTCTTTTATTGATGACTCCAAGAAAAAACTAAAAAAAAGATGAGATTTTTCTGCTAATCACTTTTGAGTAATACCTAGCCGAGAAAAATGAGCCAAATTTTTCAAGAAACTGAATATGCAGGAATCGAAAATGGTTTGATACTTTTCGAAAGATGAGTCGAGTAATTAAAGGCATTATTAAAGTTATTAAATAATTATCTTAATGCGATTTTTCTCTTCGAACAATATCGAATCAACAATAAAAATGCTTCATCTTTGTTTTGTTCTTTGCAGCATTCATCTGATATTGATTATACTCTCATGTTGCCCGATCTATTTCAATTAAACTTAACCAATTTTTATCTTCAACTATCCTCTGAAAAAAATCGTATCAAAGTATTGAAATGTATTCAGAAGCATATGAAACCGAATCATCGTATTTTCGTTGGTGTTATCGATCCCATTAATCCGACAATCGAATCAGCTGAAATGATCCGAGATCAAATATTAGAAGCAGCACAATTTATTCCCGTTGAACAACTTGGCACGACTGATGATTGTGGCTTCAGCCCATTTGCCGATGATATATCCACATCAAAGGAACTGTGTTATGAAAAAATCAAAGCAAGAATTCAAGGAACTAAGATGGCTGAACAAATCTTAAATACACAATGATAAACATTGTTGGCAATCTATTATCTATAGTCATGCATTACTGCTGTGTTGTTCTTTTTATTCACTTTTAGATAACGTAGTGTGTAGAATGATGTAACCACATGTGTCCTAACGTCTATACTTTAGCCTTATGGAATATTCTAATCGATATTGTAATGATCGATTGTATGCTTGAATGTATCGGTATGGATGAAGGCGAGTAGAATACCTCACCCAATTATTTCATTAATAATGACTGGTGAGAATAAAAATAATGAAACTCATATCGATGCTTCTGGCTCCCGATTCCGACCAGAAACGGTTGTATACAATAGTTTTTTGGTGTGTTTCCTGCAGGATTCGTTCAACTTTCCCGCAGAAAACCGCTGCAAAAATATCGAAACATGAAAGTAGTATTCTGGATCAGAAAGCTATCGCATCGACACCGTGGATGGATAGAAACTTCACCGAACCTCACCAAAAGAGTTCAAGAAACCGGCTGGTACTATCACTGAAACTCATCGTATCTACACGGTTGGAAAAAATATTATTCCAGGGGGGTAACGCTATAATTTCAAATAGAAGACATAATGAATTTTATATCAAATGAAAGCTCGTCAAAAATGGGGTTTATTGGTATTAAATAGTGAAGGTTATCAAAACCTTTTAATGTCGAGCTTAATAAATTTTCAGAAATTTTATACTTTTTTTGGGATGGAAAATTAAAGTACCAGTGATTCAAGAATGGAGTAAAACGTTTTTCTTGAATATTTTTACACGGTTCGATAGAGCTCGTCGAGCTCTACAAAACTGTATACATTAAAAACTTTTTAAGTCACTTTTTTGCGATAAAAAATTCAAAAAAGGACTTGGAAAATCTTAGAAAACGTTAAACAAATTCATATTGTTTATGTGGAAGAACAACACTTAATTTTTCAATAAAATCAGCTTTTTTCATTGTTTTTACTCCGCCAGGCGTTTCAAAATATACTCATTCGATGCGATTTTTCACGCTGCATCCAATGAATATATTTCAAACATCTTCCATAAGAATACTAATGAAAGAAGCTGATTTTATTGAAAAATTAAGTGTTGTTCTTCCACATAAACGATATGAATTTGTTTAACGTTTTCTAAGATTTTCCAAATCCTTTTTTGAATTTTTTATCGCAAAAAAGTGACTTAAAAAGTTTTTAATGTATACAGTTTTGTAGAGCTCGACGAGCTCTATCGAACCGTGTAAAAATATTCAAGAAAAACGTTTTACTCCATTCTTGAATCACTGGTACTTTAATTTTCCATCCCAAAAAAAGTATAAAATTTCTGAAAATTTATTAAGCTCGACATTAAAAGGTTTTGATAACCTTCACTATTTAATACCAATAAACCCCATTTTTGACGAGCTTTCATTTGATATAAAATTCATTTGTCTTCTATTTGAAATTATAGCGTTACCCCCCTGGAATAATATTTTTTCCAACCGTGTACTGAGGAGCTATTGTGTGATCCATTCCGGCAGACCCAACCATGAAAATCATAATCCAATATCGGATTACGCAAGAAGTCTCTGCTTACTTACAAAATACCAACGTGATGCGAGCTGCCGGATGCTCTTGATGGCAGAGCCTGCCTTTAGCGAAGATTTGGGCTCTCCTTTGATGTCGGTATCTCAGTTTGTGTCTACTGTGTTAGTGTGTGGATGTGGGTGTGGATGTAGGTGTCTTCTTGTCTTCATCCACATTCACATTCACACCTCACAGGGCGTAGAGTGGGTGTGGTTGAAAAGTTCCCTATGTCTATTCTCACATCCATATTCACACCCACACCCTCCATAGTGACAAATTTGAAACACAAGAGATGAAGTTGTCTTTGTCAATTTTACATAAGATTTGATTTTATGTTCTTGATTTGTTTCCGTTTTCAAACTGATATTAAGAAAATATGACTATGATTCGTCAAAACTGAAGAAACTTAGAACAAGCTATTGATAAAATTATCAAAAAAAAAGAAATTATTTTCTTAAGATGATAAAATAAATCGGTTAACAATAAAATGAAAACAAGAGATAAATCTTTTATTGAAATGAGTTGTTGACACTACTTTATATTATTTATAAGTTAAAAATAAAAAAAAGATTCTTTCTCTACTTAACAAAATGTGTTTTTTTTTAATATTTAGTTTCAAATATCCTTGTCAGTTTTCTTTAAATACTCTAAATTAAATCTGAATAAAAAGATATTGAATAATATGTATGTTAGTCTTTTGGAAAAGAGAAAAATTATTTCTTTTTCATTATAAACGATTCGTATAGAATAAACTTAACATTTTTTTTTCTTCCGACGCAATAACAAACTCAACAGATTTATTTGCGCACTGCTTCTTCTTTTTCGGGTGCGAGTAGTTGTGAATGTGGGTGAGGGTATTATATTCATGCGATACCCACAACCACATTCTCAAGCTAGGTAAATAATATCGATTAACAAGTTGGATCATTACTAATCTTCTTTCGGGTCAATCATTCGAAAAAGACATATTTCAAATATTAGAAGAAAATAATTTTATTACAAATCCTCAAATTGATAAAGTCAATTTAGAAATCTTAAGTGATATTGTGCATGTTCTTAAGAACAGAAACAATATTACTCACTTAAAAATCAATTATTTAAATATAAATGACGAAGAAACTATAATCTTTTTTGACTATTTAAAGCAAAATACCGTTCTGAAAGAACTTCTAGTAGCTCGATGTGAATGTAATAATATTGGTTTTCAATCTCTTCTTTTCTTCTTACCTAATTCATGGTCTCAATTAAAGTTGAAAAAGAATCGAATCACTTCAAAAAGTTTACCTTCTTTACTCGCTTTTATCAAAGTTCATTCAAATTCAAAAGAAATTTCTTTAGGAAAAAATCGTTTAAACAGAAATAACTCAAGTGAATTAAATCGAACTCGATTAATGGACGAAATAATGAATATTACAAATAAAAATCATTGTGTTTTCATCATATAAATAAAATTTACAAACAATATCAAATTGGAAAAATTCATTCAAACTTTTATTTCTTTTGCCTTTTTTTTGAACTCAATTACTTAATCTTTTTGAAATAATCACAATCGATTTTAATATAACTAATCATAGATAGTTTGCAAATAAACTGATCTTTTACCAGAAAAAACATTGTTATTTCAATACATATGTAGATAACCATAGGTCGAGGGAACATCAGTCGATGAGATTGAAGTACGTTCGACAAAATTCGAAAGAAATTTCGAAAATTATCAAAAGAAATATCATAGAATGTTCATCAGATGATTTTGGCTTTGAAACTATTTAAATAATTCTTGATTATGGATTAAACCTATAGATTTGAGATACTCAAGGACTATTTGATTAAGATTAATATCAGGATATCAATTAGGTTTATAGAGTTTATTCGTTAGTATTTATTCATGTATCCATTCATCTGATATTATCAATAATATCGATTATTATTCGGTATCCTTTCTAGAATTGTTAAAGATAACAATGAATAATAATTGATGTTATTTCACATCTCATTGATATGATACGAAATCTTATTTAGAGTTGTTGGAATAGATGGAATGTTGTTACTTCTGTGATTTCATGATAAACTTAAGAAGTTTATTAATAATATAAATAAGAAAGTGTAGAGAATGCTATTTAGGTTTTGTCTTCTGTTTGGTGTTGAGCTTATTTTTTGAGGTTTCAACTATTAAGACTTCAAATAATCACTCTTTTTTTAAATCTAGTTAGACATTGTTCATGTGTTAGATTTAATAAAAGACATTTCTTCGTTATGATCTTTCTTTGAAAATTGTTCCTGAATTTAGACATCATTTGATAAGTGAGTTGGTTTTAGTTAGAAATTTTGGTTATCCTCAATTGGATATGTTTTTCAACATTATCGTGTATCTTCAATAATTGAGATCATATAGAAAGAATTTGCTTGTCTCTGATAATCAATAATAAAGTGAATGACAGCGATAATGAAGAGATATATTTTGAAAATAATGCTTTCAACTGATAATAGATGTATCTTGAGAAACAACTGAAGAAAATAGAATAAACATTAGAGAAATGTCAATGCAAAAGTGATTCATTAAAATATAAGATGAATTTGATTGAATGTCATTCATTCCTAAAAGGAGGGTAGATGTGAGTGCGGATGTGAGATGAGAATAATACCGAAACCCACACCCATACCCCCTCAAGGTACTTGTGTTCATCATGGAAAGAATTATATCTAGCTGTGAGACGAATTCATTAAGAAAGAGTGTGGGTAAGAATGAGTATAATCTCCACATCACACACACTTATATTCATTTCATTATTCGCAAATTTTATGGTATATAATTTTTACATCATCCATTGTTTAGAAAAAAAATCACATCACGGAAAGGAGAAAAGAAAAAAAAGAAGAGTTTTCTGTGTTCTCTTCTCAACATGTGATGCTCCATGTCTGTATAAAAAAATGAAATCTTTCTTCTTCTACCAATTGCATATTACGAAACAAGAGCGTTGTTTTTCTTTAACTTTTCGTTTCTCTGACAACTTTTACTCTGTTGTTGTTTTTTCTCGTTCGCTACGGTCATTTCAAGCACAAATCAAAAGAGTGTTGCACGGCAGAATATTACATTTGGAATAGAATTATTAAAACAGCAACGCACATTCACTTTTGCATTCTTATTTTACTTTAAACAAGAAAAAAGTATACAATGTCTGTAGCACTTCCAGGCGATCGAAACAAAGAATCAGTCGATAACATCACGGGTGCACCCGATATAGCTGCTCAACAAAAGCTTGAGCATCAAGCTGCAACACAATCCTCTTCATCAAGTCAACAACATGTTGAAGGTGGAAGTGGACAACAGCATCTATCTGAATCGTCTAAAACGTTCAGCCAACAAGTTAATGATAATAAAACTGGACAACACTAAACAAAACAGTATATGTACTATGGACACTTATTTGATATATATAACAATTCAAAACAGACTTCTACACATTTTAATCCGTAAATTTTCTTGCACACGAGACATTTTTACTGTTGCAGTTGCCAATTCATAGATATAGTGTGATATGAAATAAAAATTTTGAATTTATCAATCTGAAAACAAGAAAGGTTCCGAAGTTTGTAAGTGCTGCTGTATGAGGTAGCTTAATGGGGCAACCTAGATTACCCTTTATTGAGGACAACTGCTGATTTGATCTTGATCGAACTATTGAACATTTAAGATGCAATACAATGTTTATTGAAGGGGTGGGGGTGTGGAGTGTGGGCGTGTATAGGTCGGTATGTGAGTGTGGATGTGAATCTCTTCTCCAACCACACCCCACCATTATACCTGTACACACATCTGTTAAAAAACCTTCATTGGGTTCGCTTAACTTAACAAAATGAAGAAAGAATTTTATCATATATGAATATAGCATGTAGTAACAACAAAATGATCACAGTCAATCGAGAATTGATTGAGTTAACAATTGAAAAATTTGATAAAATATTTTACTTTTTACAAAATATAGTACATTTAACATAATCTAATCAATATATTTCATAAAAAATCTTCTAAAGAATATCAATCATATCTCTTAATTCATTTTTATCTTATCTAGTTTACGAAGAAGATAAACAACTAGAATTTATCTAAATATCTGCATATGATAGAGTCTATTCCATGGTTAATTTTATGAGAACAAATTAGTAGTCCTAAAATGTTATTTTATTTTTTTGAGACATGTAATTAGTTGATTATTAGATACTAATGAATATTAAATGTTATTAAATCAATGTATTAATTAACAAAAAATGTTTTAAAGAATTGATATTGTAGAATAATTTAGTTTTATTTTAAAACTGATTTATTGATTAGATTTCTTTAGTTGTATAAGCTTGACATTCAATAGCTACTTTGGCACTGAATGGTAATTTGACAACACCCATTGATGATCGTGCAGGATAAAATTCAGGTGATTTAAACCATTGTGAATAAATTTGATTAACTATTTCATAATCTTCTTCAATATTTGTTAAAATAATAAGACAATGAGCTAATTGATCAACTGAAGATCCAGCAGCATTTAAGACTGCTTCTAAGTTTTTTAACACTTGATGTGTCTGATCAACAACATTATCTGATATCATATGACCAGTTTTTGGATCTATACCAATTTGTCCAGTAAGATATAACATATAATTTATTTGAATACCTTGGTTAAATGGTGCTACAGGTGCTGGTGCATCCTATACGAACAAAAATTAATGGATAACAAAAAAAACTAATGATTGAGCAAATTCATTTACTTGTGTATATATTACTTTCCTTGTCACAGTATAATCTTTGATTGGGAGGATTGGTTTACTATTAACAAGAACAACAAGATATAATAACGCAACTAGCAGCATCATTTTTATCAAAGTATGAGGACTAAATAAATTTTTTGTAAAGAAGTAAAAGAGAATGATGTTCTTCTTGCTTAAATGATAAGATAAACTATTATATATGTCAGCGTCCAAACTAAAATTACGTCCAACCTCAGATTGGCCTAGGCGAATGCTGGATCTGAGATTGGACGCGTCCAATCTCGGATTGACGTAATTCTATACACTAAAGTATTAATTACTCTTTAGATAGATGTTGGAACCGAACTATTTTTTGAAGTTATGTTGGTACGATGCTGTTTTAAGTATTACAAGCATTTAGGAAGAAGCTAAATTTAGACTCAAGAATTTAATAAAGGTTTTTCATGAAAGTTAGTTTTTTCGAGAAATTTATTTATAGCTCCTAAAATTTTACTCAAATCTGTCAAACGACAATTGTGCCAAATAAACTGACATTGTGGGAACATCACTCAAAAAACAATTCGAATTGAACGTATATCTAAAGAATAATTAATATTTTAGTGAATATAATTACGTCAATCTTAGATTGGACGCGTCCAATCTCGGATCCGACATTCGCCTAGGCCAATCTGAGATTGGACGTAATCCCAGTTTGGACGCTGACATATATATAGACATTTTTAAACACTTTCTAACGAAAATAACAGACGATAACAAATGACGTTGAATCTTTACTTTCATTTTAAATATTTTAAAAACTAATTGATAAAAATTTCTATTATTGAACTGACGAACTGATATTTCTCTCATTGATTTTATCTTAAATTATAAAAAGAGGAAGTTTCTCTCATATGTTTTTATAACTTTTTATGAATTACAATTCAATCTGAATAAACAGTCATAAGTGTTTAAAAAGCGGACATCAATTTGTTTTTTTTTTCAATTATGTCATACTTACGAGATATGGGTGTTACATGCATTGCAGCATCCTGACAAAATACGTGAGGGACGTCCTTTTTTCAACGACTTTTTCTCTAGGATTCATAGTGTTAGTGCTTTTATTTTTATCTATTGCTATGATTATAAAACCTCGAAGTCAAGGTTTCAGTCTTCAATTGCTCTCGCGTTTTGTAATGCATTAAAGAAAAATTAACTTCAATAAGCATAAGTAGTCAACTATTAGTCCATGAATAATATGGCACGAAGATCATTGAAGTCACCAATGCTCGCACTGTCGTTTCAAAGATGACACTTTTTATTATTGCGAATTCATCGTTCTATCTATAATTAATAATAGTTTTGCTTACTTTTGATTACTTCACCCGAATTGATTATTAGATTTTATTGAATCCAAAAAGTAAGTTCTCGAGATTTATTGAAATTTAGAAGTTTTACGACAAAAAGTGACATATGCGAAGCAATTTTACAATCTATTGTAATATTCAACGATATCAAATAATAGAATCAGATGACTTCGCCGTAGAAATTCAACAATATTTTTCTCTTGCAGTAAACAAAGTATATCTACTGACTGGCGAGATTAGTATACCGAGTGAACACTAGATAAAGGTCGGACGTATGTTTTAAGTAAACCAATACTCTTCCGACAATTGCTGAATGTCTACGACATCATTGAAGTTGTCTGACGATTGGTTCTGAATAATCAATTTTATCTTTGAAACTACGGTTCAATATAGATACATCCATACATAGAAGTAATGCCCAGATAAAGAGTATTGAAACTCTAGAATCTCACTCAGGAATCAGATGACGATATAATTTTTCTGGTCTGAATAATATAGATGGGATATATCGTGAAGTGCATACTAATATCAACGACAGAACTGAAATCACATAAAAATTGGCAAAACATTACTAAACAAACGTGTAAACAAGATCGTATGATTATGTTTGAGGAGTAAAAAAAGCAATGCTTTTTCTTAAAATTATGATTCACATCTATTTAATAAATACTTCTACCTCATACTCCTACTAGAAGCAATGAATTCTCATGAAGATAAGTTCAATAATGCTGCTACTCATCTACAAGTGGTAATCATCATGTGGTTATACAATTTTCTTTTTAAAATAGTAATATGCAATAATCATAATGTTTGTAGATATATATTCTAGACTATCGTCAAAGTAAACGAAAAAAAAGATTTATCCTCACTGTGGTATAGAATACGATCATCTGATCATATATCTTACTCTGAAAAATATTTGTTGGCACTCACGAATAAATTCTTGGCTTATTTTCAAATGAATAATAGATTTGGGTGTGGGATGTGGGCATAGAGAAGAAGTACACCCACAGCCACATACAATACTTGATTATTTCTTTGATATAAGACATAGTTCTATAGTAATGAAAACAATGGAACTGTAATTGCTCGGTATTGATAGTTCGTCTGATTTCATACAAATTAAATTGAGATTTAGTCCTAGTCAACAACAATACTGTCAATAGCAGAGAAGTTAGCATTATGTCTTTTCTTACTCGGCTTAATATGAGATATCAGTAAATAAAAGGCATATTTTGCCCTTTTATTTATAGAAAAAATAATAAATTTATTTGACATATCTTTGCTTTACTGTTGACAATCGTGACATTATACTCCTACTATGAACATGTCTGTGTACATTGTTCTATTTTACTTTGAAGAAATGCATGATAAATTATTGAGCAGAATATGATATTTTTCGAAATAACTCCTAATGTATTAAAAGCAACTCTAAGACGCACATAAGTCAATTCGTGTGAGTAAAGGATTATCAATTAAACAAACAACTGAATGAGTAACTCGCACATATTAATACTCTTAATGTTCATCTTGAAAGTTAAAATGAATCTATAAAATGTGTTCTCTACAATGCAGAACTCATATTAATGTTATTGATATAGATCCGTTCGAAAGTGTTTTAACTAAAGATGTCTCATATTCTATTCATCTGAAAAACTATCCACACATTATGTCGTCACTAGAGTATGAAAAGAAACATCTTAATAATTAGTATCACTTGTTTTTTTAACTGTTTGTAACGAAATAGATAGTAGCATAAGGAAGTTTAGATTCGACTTTGAGAAAAAAATGGTCATTAAATCTGCAAAAATCAATATCATATATTGAAATAGAACTGTCATATAAATATCTAACATCTGCTGAATCATTCGTGTCGAGTATTGTTGTTGTTCTAAAAGAATCAAAAAGAAAATAAAACATGAACCTTTGTTTTTTATATAGATATAATTTACAAGTAACAATCAACTACCAATTTGACCTTTTTACTACGACCAACATCAACTCTTTCTATTTGCAAATATATATTAGCATAGATACCCTACATAATGATACAGTTAAAACTACTAGTCGACATATTAAGCACTATACTTTCTCACAAATCTTTGTTTAATTTTTCTTCTTTTCATAGGCTTGAGTTCCTCATTGAACTTCTTTTAATATTCATGTTGAAGAAAAATTAAGTACAATAATGATTCGGTTTACATTAGTCATAATCCAACCTCAAGGAACCATTGATTTATAACATCTCTTCGGAGTCTTTTAAAAGTAACAAATTACATACATATATACTATATCAACTCTTTTTTTACAAACTTTTAGCTTCTTTCCAGGAGTTCAATAAATGGGAAGCTGTACAATATCTTCGACCACTTTGTAGCAGAGGTAGATAACTTGTCAATAAGTACTGCCAAATTTTAAATTGTTTCTCTTTTACTTTTACTGGTAAAATGCTGATTATCGAATTGAATCATGGCGAGATGAGTCTGAACATTGTTGTTTTTGATCTTCAATAGCAATGCAACGAACCAATCTTAATCGAATGACGAATTTTAGAATATGGCTGTCGTTTACACAGATCTCATATTGGTCCCTTATCAGTTCTGAGTATGAGTGAAGAGAAGATTGACATCGACAACCATACCTACTGTAGTTTTTCATCTCAATTCATTTATTATTGATTTTTGTGCTTGATCTAATTTGGCTAGTCTCTGACAGTCACTGGTTATAGTAGAATGAAAAGTTTCATTCTCTACCAGGCACTAATCTTCATTGTTTCGACATTCACAACGGATCAATGATAGATATCACCGTCAATTCAAAGTTAATGTTAGTGAACAAAATCGACGACGATAACGAAAGATAATCCAACATGATCGGAATCGATGATATGAAGAATCATCGTGTTCTATTTTGCCTACTGAAGCTATCAAATATCTATATATCGGATTATCATTCAATATCCAATCAAGATTGCATAAACTAGAGTTTCACCATACTTCGTTAGATGTTCTAACCTTCTCAGATTATATATCTTCCTTCAAATCATTCGACAGATCGCAAATGGAAAGGATACTTATTTCCCTACTATAACAATGTTTACAATGTACTCATTGAATATTGCATACTTACTATTATGCATTGAATACAATCGAAATGCCTGATCATCTTTATCTGATTGATGATTTATGGTCTTGTCACAACTAGCTGCTATCATAAAAACTCTCATAGTTTCTTCTTGACATACTAAAAAAGAGCTGAAACGTAAAACTTAAAGGTACGAGCTGCTCAAGTTGCAGTTGTTCTTTTTCAGCATTTGATACAAGAATATTTGAATTTCTTCCTTTTAAAGATACATCGAACAGATAGGAACTATCTTAATGCTCACATTTAGGAAGTTTCTCTCGAATAATGAAAACTATTAGTAGTAAACAATCCATCTTTTTGCTTATTGATTATTAATACAGTCGCATGAATATAATGATTGGGAATAAATTGAGATTTGATTTTATTAGAGATCTATTGTTATAGTTTAATGATGAAGGAATAAAAGCAATATAAAAATAGAAGTTATAGTAATTTATAAGCATTTGTGAGTATTTGCAGGGTTAATGAAACGAGCTCTCTCGTTTAAAATGTTCACTTTCTGTTTTAGAGAAAATTTATTCAATAGTAATAAATATTTGTCCATGATCGTTTGTAATTTTTCAAATAACAATAGGATTTAACAGTTGCGTCATAATACGTATCTTTACCCAAAAACCC